GCATTTTCTCTTGCAAAGCGTAGGGCTTGCTAATGGTAGGTGTAAGAATAAATGTTCTCACCTGGGACAAGGGAACAGAAACAATCATGCCCAGAAACCTTTCAGAGACCCCAAGCACATTGAAGGGCACTGGGCTCCCCATTAGCTGGGGAAATGAGAATATATGTTTTATGGATTTTCCCAAATAATTTGCCAAAAGTCTCACTTCCAGCTAAGAACTGGTACAGAAATGCTGCTGGATGTGTAGGAAGGAGCACGTGTGTGGTATAAGGGATAAGCTGTGGAAAAAACTGTATCACCAGGAGCTAGATTTGGAGCTTATATGCCCACTACAACTCCTTGTTCCACGTTGTAATAGGATTTCACATTATCTACCCAGCCTGGGGCCCAAGAACATGAAAAGTTCATGCATATGAAACATCTGTTTTATCATTCATTTCAATAACTCAACCAGCAGATAATTTACTCCAGCACTTTCTTTACCATGCTTCTCCATGGGAAAGTACAGTGGAAACAGCTAGCCCTCAGTAAGTACTTACAGCTCCCTGGAATGCTCACAGGCAAGAGGATACAGGAAATGCAGGCTTTGGGCTTGTTGGTGTGGATGTGCTGCCATTTTGGCTTTTCCTACAGTAAAACCTTTAAGAAGAGCTGAGAGAGGTTTCATGCCTGCTGCTGTGTGTCTGAGACCATTTAATGTGGCCTTTTAAGATATTTAATACCATACCCTATTCCTCTTCAGAGTTCCCACGGCCCAGTTTCCAAGGAGGGTGTCTAATTAAGAGACATTGATAACTGAGTACAGAGGGCTGATACCTTTTGTCATTTGATGGCACAACTCTTTCTTAGGCATCTACTTCTCTGACCCAGTGCAACGCTGAGGTTTCTCTTCACTCACGGACGCAATGATCCTACATTCTTTTTAGTAACCTCATCTTATTGAAAATGAGTCGTTGAAGGAACCTGGTTCCTCCCAGTCTCCAGACTGGAAGTAAAATGCAGCCTGCACTGCTGGCAATTGCATGCATCAGACAGATGGTCTATGAGGACATGCAAGAAATGGAAACTAGGTCAGTTTTCTAAAGATGCATGTAAATGAATCACTGGAGCATGTAAGGACAAAACCATAAAGGCCAAAGCACGGAATGGTATAGAACAAGCAAGGGATGTGAAAGGGGACAAAAAACTTTCTACTAATATTTCATCAGAAAGAGGAAAATGAAGGAAGAAGCTGGACCTCCACCTAGTGAGAAAGGAAAGCTAATAGTGCCTGGAGGGCTGAAGTGGTTAATGCCTTTCACATATGAGCCTTCATTAAAAATGCTATAAGCCAAAGACACTATCACCGATGACTGCAGAAGAGGAATTCAGACTACAACAAGCAAAAGGCAGTCTAAGGGAATTCTTTGAAAAGACAGATTTTTTGTTCAAATCAGATCACTGGCTAGGCACTGTCTTGAAGGATATGTGAGACATGATAGGGAAAGAAAATGGCTCTATTAATGTGGAGGGTAAGGAAGAGCTGGGGAGTTATCAATCGATCAGCATACTTTCAACACCTAGAGAAATGTTGAAACAACAAGTGGAACAGACCATTTTGAACACTTTGAAGATATGAAATAGTCTAGCATATGTTGGTTAAAAACAAATCATGGTTAAAAGAACACCAGATCTGTGACAGATCTAGAAGATATGGGAGACAGAGTACATAATGTAGAAGGTGATTAAGTGGCTGGGGTATGATTTCATCTTTACTGTAGTTAGACTTTTGGAGCTATCTCACTTGAAATTTGCTCAAGTGAGATGGGAATCTAGCCCAGATTAAATTCTTTAGTGTGAATGGCTAGGTAGGAAGTTATCCTCAGTGGGGTGTACCCGTGCTGCTTTCTTCCCTGGAGGAATAGCCAGAGTGGGGCTCTGGGATGTAGCCTGAGTTTTCTCACAATCTTTGTGGTTTGGATAGCATCACAGAAGCTACATCTGCTGACGATATGAGTTAAGGTTTGAGTAGAAAATATCCTGCAGAGATCCTCTGAAATAGTCAGTTCATAAAGGAGTTCAGGACAACAGGAGTCACAGGGTTGACTCAAGCTTTTCAGTTCTGTCAGCAACACTGACTTCTTTTTTTTCCAGGGATGAAGGAACCAGTCTGACATGCATTTGCTATAGGAAAATTAATACAGGGGAAATAATCGAGAGGGAAAGAAGTCCTGCAGGTTACTCATTGTCAGGGCATACCTAAGGGTGGGTTTTGATGCTGCTGAGATTTAGTTGCTATTGTCAACCATTTTACCCCAGCAGATTTAACTGACGTTGCAGGATTGTGACTATTCAAGTGACTGCTTGTTCTGGTTTGACGGCCATTCATCTCAATGGGAGCAACCAATGTTGCAGGAATATGTAGCTTCCTGTAGAAGTAATCTAGGGATTGCAGGTTAAGTGGGAAGTAAGTGAACTCTAGGAAGGTCTCCGTCTAGTCCTAGTGCTATCTCTAGTTTTGGGCATTTTAATAGGTAAAGAAAGAAATTACAGTGTCTGAGCAAAGAGTGGGAGAACTGGGGAAGGAAAGAAGGCTGCAGTGGAGATACACATCTTTAAACTGTTTAGATGGTGCAATAAAGGGGAAAGAAATTCCTCCAGTATGCTTAAGGAGCAGTAGACTTGACTTACACTGCAGCAAGGGAGGCTGAAGGTAGACATTAGGCTTAACTCTCTTAACTCTGAGGTCAATGAAGTCCTGGAACAGGCTACTGCAGAGTGCTTAGAGGGAAAGTCTTGCTCCCTGAAGACAAGGTTAGAGAAACATCTGTCAGGAAGAGTTTAGTTAATGCAGTTTATGCCTTGGGGCAGGTATGAGAAGACACCCTGAAACTCTTCCAACCCTTTGACCATGCCTCGGACATATTATTTTGCCTCTCTCGCATTTTTCTTCATCACTTCCTGACTCTGCTCACTACAGGCTCAGTGCATTGGACTTGCCCTCAGTCCAGGCCTTTCCCTTCTCCAAAACCCCAATAAGCCTGGGGTTCCAAGGCATAAGGGAGGTTTTGATGGCTCCCACACAAGGAGCTCCCTTGCCAGGAGCTGTACTCCATCACTGGTACTCTGAGGGAACCCATCTCCATCACCTGAGCAGACACTTTCCCCAGGCACATTTCAAGGACCCTGCTCCAGCACATAGTGAGTAAATAACACCAATACGGTTTTAACACATGAAAGCTCTCCTAAGCTGATCCCTTTACTTGCAGTCTCAGCAGCCACTTTTAGACCTCAAACAGGTCCAAGATTTTTCTTCTTAGGATGCCTGTGGGAGGTAACACAGATGAGGACAACAGTCCCCAACGTGTAAAGAGAAGAGTGCCTTTCCTAGGAAACCCGTTGCCTCTCTGGCCTTCAAGTAACAACTTGAAGTAATGGAAAATAAGGAAACTATCTACCTCCAAGGGCACTGTGATGTCTCAGTCATGGGGCAAACTGCATTTTCCTGGCTCCATGCTGAATTCTGCTCCATGAGGTGCTGGGAGTGCAGCCAGCCAGTCCCTCAAGGGCTGCCACCAGGAGCCAGGCACATCATGCCAGAGAATTGCATTTGACACGGAGAAAAGCAAATGGTTAAGCCTGAAAAAGGCAGCAGAGAGAGCTTGTCAAAATAATATAGAAGTTAATGGTCAAAAGTGACCACTGTTCCTTGAAATTCCAGTTTCCTCTAAAACTGAGCACTTGCATTTGTTCTGAGAGGTGTTTCTGTGGGATGCCCCAAAGGACAATCTGAGATGTGCGAGTCATGTTGTGATAGACCAAATGGAGGTCAGGGAGTCAAAATGAGTGGGAGTAATGGAAACCAGCCTGGATGGAGCTGAAGGACCCTATGGAATCAGGGGAGAGGCTTCATTACAGCTGAAATAGATCGCACTGTATTGCAGCCTGAATGCACTGATTAAAACCATGTTATGAGAGGTCCTAAACAACAGTCCTGAGCATTGCAAACATAAAGACTACATGTTGTAACCTAGCAGAAAAGAACAGCTTAATCAAAAAGGCTGCTGGAGTGGGGACAGTGAGGAAGGTCCTTTGATGCACCAGTATCAGCCCCCAGAGTCTTCAACCTGTGATATATGAAGTCAAGTTAGTCAAAAAAACTTCTCTCTTGTCAAGTAAGGAGTAGGTATCATCATGACATCGTTAGGGTAGGAAATAGCTTTGTGGAACACTGTGAAGAGTCTTCATTCTTGGCATCTAGTGCTGCTGTTGATGTCAAATTGAGCCTCAACTAGGCGAAACCATCTCAATGAAACTAAATGTTCTTCAAAGCTCATGGGTGTAGAGGTTGTATTTTTAGCTTTCCTTTTACAACAGAACAAAAAGACCACACTGGTCACAATTATTGCTAATTGTGGGGTATACAGGACTTACTCCCTGTATCATTTCAATTCTGAAATCCAGGAATAACTAATGCAGCCTTAGGAGAACAATGAAGTGGATTCCATACAGGAATCTTCTCCTTTTCCTTCCCCACTCTTGTGCTGTGCCTGCCTCACAGAGTGTCCCACAGTATGTCCTCCTTGTCAAAATTCCCTTTGGGAAGCCTGTCCTGGTTGAACATGTGCAGCCCAGCAGTTCCTCAGGAACTCAACAATTTCAGGCATGACTAAATGGAGATGGACTCAAGCCATGTTAATGGGAAAGAAGTACTGCCAGAAGCCATGAAGCCATTTTATTACCTCATGAAGAAGAAAAGCATCTGCTGGATCAAGGTAGACATCCACTGCACCCACCTTTTGCACGTGGGCTCAGGACCATGTTCCATCCTGTTCTTCCTGTTCTGCCCTGCGGAGAAGGACTTGGGGGTGTTGTTTGATGAGAAAATGAACATGAGCCGGCTTCAGTGTGTGCTTGCAGCCCAGAAAGCCAACCGTATCCTGGGCTGCATCAAAAGGAGCGTGACCAGCAGGTTGAAGGAGGTGATCCTGCCCCTCTACTCTGCTCTCATGAGACCTCACCTGGAGTATTGTGTGCAGTTCTGGTGTCCTCAACATAAAAAGGACATGGAACTGTTGGAACAAGTGCAGAGGAGGCCACGAGGATGATCAGGGGACTGGAGCACCTCCCGTATGAAGACAGGCTGAGAAAGTTGGGGCTGTTCAGCCTGGAGAAGAGAAGGCTGCATGGAGACCTCATAGCAGCCTTCCAGTATCTGAAGGGGGCCTATAGGGATGCTGGGGAGGGACTCTTCATTAGGGACTGTAGTGACAGGACAAGGGGTAATGGGTTAAAACTTAAACAGGGGAAGTTTAGATTGGATATAAGGAAGAAGTTCTTTACTGTAAGGGTGGTGAGGCGCTGGAATGGGTTGCCCAGGGATGTTGTGAATGCTCCATCCCTGGCAGTGTTCAGGACCAGGTTGGACGAGGCCTTGGGTGAGATGGTTTAGTGTGAGGTGTCCCTGCCCATGGCAGGGGGGTTGGAACTAGATGATCTTAAGGTCCTTTCCAACCCTAACTATTCTATGATTTTATGATTCTGTGATTCTTCCCTGATCTTCTTTTCCCGCAGGTTGAATACAAGTCTGTATCATGACATATGCTCCAAAATGCTGAGAGGAGGAAAAGGAAGAAAAAATAATCCCAGAAGGAAACAGTGAGTACTCTGTGTGGTACCCTCAGTCCAGGAGAGGGTAGAAAGTTTATTATACTAGACAACAATGGAGCAAGGTGGACACTGATCACAAACAGCAAAGCTTGGGGCAGTGACCTGTTCTGGAACTCTGGGTGTGATACATCACCTCCTGAGTCCAAATCCCCTTTTGTGCCTTTTGGGTTGGCAAATAACAGTGTTCCAAATAAAATCGGGAAACAAAATCATAATGCTCCCAATTTTGTAAAACTAATAACAAACACCAGCTGACATTATGGAGAACACTCTCCAGGGAATGCAAAAGTACTTTATTATCTTCATTATAATCTCTTTTAAATGCTTCAGATGCAATTATTCCTGGTAATAAGAAATGTGTATCCTGGATGCTTTCCATACCTGGGACCTCCTTCTACTGAGGCCTCAAAACCAGCCCATATCAGACCCTCAATTTGTTCACCTTCTTGACTTATAACTACTTTATATCCACTGGAATGTGACACGGTTTAGTGTGAGGTGTCCTTGCCCATGGCAGGGGACTTGGAACTGGATGATCTTAAGGTCCTTTCCAATCCTAACTATTCTATGATTCTATGATTCTGCGATTCTGTGACTGTATCTTTGCACTTTGAAAGAGTCCTAGGAAGAACTTGTGACACACACAGTATTTTACTTCCTAAGTGGTTAGTGTGAAAATAGATACCTTTGTTTTCACCCTTTTTGCTTTTATCACCGAGACTAAACTAAGGAAGAACAGTCACGGGCTGGAAGGTGGGGAAGCTTAAAAAGAATTAAAAGATGAGAACTTGAGCGCATGTGGACTACTTGTGCCTAAAGCAGCAGTGCTTTTGTGAGCACTACATCAATAAAGCCACTTCCCCCACAGATTTGTGTCTGGTGGCTGACTGCAAACTCCACTGAAGTTGTTTTCCTGCAGTTGGACGTCTGAGAGGTCTCAGCTGTGTAACTTCTCTGGCGTCTAATAGTGTGTGAACAGTCATTTTCCCCAAAGGCGGGATACTCCTAAGGCCTTTCTCTACTAGCTCAATGTCTTGTTTCACAAAATGCTCAGGAATGTGATTGACAAGGAGCTATCTCTCTTCCTGTCAAATTTGGCTTCCTATTGGCCAAGAAGCTCAAACATTACTGCAGAGGGACCGAGACAGACAGACATGAACACGTACAAAGTGATTGCGTAAGCTCCATTTCCCCAGGAAATAGAGGCTGAGAGCAGTTCTGTTGAAAGAGAACCATTTACTAACCAAAACCAAAGGAAACTTTGAATAACATGTTACCAGAGTCAGAATGCAGGATTTGAATAATCGGGCAATAGAGGGAAAACTGGTCCTCCAATATTTCACATTTCAAACAGGTTTAATCTCTTTGGGATCTATTAATCACTTTTTAAACTTCCCATCAAGTTTCTTTCTTACTTTCTTTAATATGAAAAGCAAATTTGTCTGCATTTATTCACAAAACATTTTAAAAACAACACATGGGCTACCAGGACAAACCTACAGAAAACCAGCCCATCTGAGACAGGAGATGGTTGTGTTTTATAGACCTCCTTCCTTCACACTAAATGAGATTTCATTGGCTTGTTCGTGGGTTGTTGTTTTTTTTTCCAGCCAAATATATGTATGGTCTAACCCAACCTTGAGAATTCGCTGACATATATCCACTGTTGGGAAGCCTCAGTGTGTGACTAAAAAGGTCAAGTCTGTTTCTAGCCTTAATGTAGACCCAACTGGGAGCAATGGCACTGGTCACAGTGAATTTCTAGCAGGACAGAGGTTTCCCTCCTTATGGGGCCAACTCCGTCCCAGAGACAGAAGGATTTTGCTGCACAAGTAGAAGGAAAGAAGGCCCAGATTAATGAATAGCTGTGTAATTCCGTGGTCACTGGTCTAGAGAATAGAAATACCAGGGTGTGCACGTTATCCACAGTGGGTGAAGTCATTTTTTGGAGCATGTCATAAAATTACTTGTCCAAGAGACCATGAAATGAAGCAGGACAACCTATGAAGTGCCACTTCAGGAATGTGTGCAATCTTTGTTGGGATTCTTCATCCTTTCATAGTTTGTTAGACAATTTATTTCCCTCTCTTTTCATATGCATCAAGAAAAAACATCTGCAGGAGGCAAACCCAAAGGTTAATTCCTCCCCTGCACTTCCCTCATTTGTTCAAATAGTTGAGCTAATATTTATGAATAATGCATTGCACCCATGAATGCCACAAATCAATGCAGCTCCAAGGACTTCATTTTTGTACCAGCTGAGGCTCAGACTCAATATGTGCTGTTAATCCAGCTTCTTTTATTGGTTAACAGGTATTATTTCCAGAAAACTACTTTTCTATGTCAAGGATTTATCAGACCTTGTTCATATCCCGGGCAGGTTCCTCATTCTCTGTGGCCTGTTTAATTTGGCTATTAATTATTCTCAGAGCTTGGCATCTTCTTTGTATGATAGTTTGGGGTTCATTTTGTTTGGTTCTGTGGGTTTTCTTTTCCCTACGTTCTCTTTGAAAGCTTTTATTAAGAAACTGATGGGTGTGGAGAGCAGATACTGAGACAGACAATTGTTCAGGAAAAACACTAGATACCCCAGAGTATTGTTGCTGCTGTCACGAATGCCTGGTACTGGTTCAAAACCATGAGAACATCTTTTTTGCCCAATAATGGCCACACAAATAGCCAAGAGGAAGTTATGAAAATTTAAGAATAGATAAACACAATAGTCAGGCCATTGCCATTTCAAGGAAGAAAATACAATGTCTGAAGTTCCTGGCATCAATAATTGAAAATCTAATACAACACGTATTTATAAATTGAGTTAAAGTTCTGGTTTTTGTTGTTTTTTTTTTTTAATAAGAACTTGCAGAAACTAGTAATTTAATGCCTCATGTTTTTGCTACTGTCATTCAAACCCTCATGTTCTCATTCACACTGGAACAGATCAGCTGCTGTCAACCAGATTAATACTGCTGAAATCAACAGAGTCGCACAGATTGACACCAGCTGAAGACTTGTCCTAATAAATCTGAGTCTATTTATGGCGGATGAAATCACAGTCATGCCTCCCCAGATGCAGTATTCTCACTTGGAATACAAATGGGTTTGGATGCATGGATGAATTAAATATTGAAGGTTCCATATTTCAGACTTAGCTGCTACTTCACCCTTATCAGTGGATCTGATTTATACCAGTTCTTTGGAGAAATAATCACTCAGTCCTGGAGTGCTCACCCTCAGCCTGGTTTACCTGAACTAGCTGGTTTTCTTTTTAGCTGTTGAGTGTATTAACAGCCCTACAAGTATGCCAGCACACAGAGCCCAAGACACATAGGGAGTGCATGCATGCTCAGTAATGGAAACCTGTATTGAATAACACTTCCAAGTACCTCCCTTCACCTGGCATTTTTTAAGGGATTGAGGGAATCCAGTGGTGGATTTACCACATTGGCTCCTGCTGGTACCTTCTGCATCATGGTACCAGGGATACAAGACAGAACAGGAGCACAGGTGCTTTTAGCTCTCCATCCATATTGGGATTCCCCTCCATCTTCTTCTTTGGAAAGACTGTTTAGACAGCAAAAGAGTGCATCCTCCTTCTGTACTGCAGCTTTTTGCACTCTGTGGTGTCAAGTCTCATCTGCAAAGGCCAGTAACTCAGTGGAAATGAGATATTTACCTGTGTTGAAGTGGAGATGGCTGAGTGCTCAGATGCTTGATGTTACCACAATGCAGCCAAACCAGATGTTTTCATACTCTTGTTTCTAAATCTTCTTTGATATTTCAAAGGGCCAGGCTGATGTAGCCCTCCTTCCCATCACCTAAGTAGTAATAACAACAGCAATAATAATAGATGGCGTGATCAGACTCACCACCTATGTTCCCATTCCAGTGTGTGCCTCCTAAAGCAGGTGAGGTTCCTTAACCTTCTTGCTTATTGCAGACCCAGCAGGGTTCCTGCTGTTCATCAGGAAAATCCTGCATGGAAGGGGTGCGTTCTCCATTACCCTGGCATGGAGAAAGTCAGAAAAAGGGGGGTTCTGATAGAAAACTAACACAGCTACTTGTTTGGTTTGTTTAAAAGCCAGACTCGTGACTCAGCCTTTACCTTTATGAGTCAGGAAATTCCAAGGTGCTCTTTTTTCCCTTGGACCTGTAGGCAGACTCTGATCTCACTTATTACAGGGTAAACCCACTACAGGCAAAGAGCTATTCCTGCCACACGTTTTCAAGCAAGAGCAGCATCCCTCCTCCCTGAACTTTCTTCCTGTTCTTAGCAGTACCTGTGTTCTTTGGCCAGCTACAGCCTTCAGTAAAAGTGTCAGGCACATCAAGCAGCATGAAATAAATCAATCCATTTCCCAGTTTATTTAGTCTAAAAAGACTGTAAAATCGAGTCAAACTGAAAACCCTGTTTATGTGGCCGAGAAGCCTAAGGGACATATTGAAGAAGAAGTGATATTACAGTGTTAGGCTAACAGAATAAGAGCTAGTTTGCACTGTGGCAGTGTGTTTCCAGTTCACTGTGGATGGTGTTGACTACAGAGCAATGGACAGTTGCATTTGCAGACATAATGTCCATGGAACGTGAAAGGGAGAGAGACAAAAGTCATAAAACTATAAAATTGCTTCAAGGTCCAGAAAACCAATTAGCAGAGACTTAAAAGCAATGTGGTTTCCTTGTTTTATTGAAGAGAAGAGTCAGCAGTGATTTACTGAACCCTTGCATGTTTATATGTTGGAAGAAGGTACTGAATTCTCATCAGCCAAGCAGACATTGGCAGAAAGATGAAACTAGCAAACTCAGACTGAAAATACAGCACAAACTTTTCATAGTGAATGTAACTGTACTCACCAAAACATGAAGTGGATTTTCCATCATTTGAAGACCTGAAATTGAATCTAAGTCTTTGAACTAGACAGAGAAGAGTATTTAGGGCCTCTATTAATTAGAGTCAGTACAAGACTCCCCAGGATTAAGCCAGGTTGATACAGGATTGAAATGATCTCTTTTAGCATTGTCAGACTTGGAGCTGAGAGCTCCCAGAAGCAGAAGCCAAGGTGTGGGCTGCTGCCATCACTGGATTAAACAAGAATCTAAATGTCCCTGTTATTTAAGGCTTAATCAAATAACACTATACCCAGTCACACCTGTAAGTGCCCTGACATGCCATATCCATGCCATATCCACACAAGAATTGATATCAGAAAGGCTGCTGAGGCAGCTGGATGTCTCAGCATCCCTGCCCTAGAGCTGCAAGCCCACCCCTTGATCCCTGTCTCACCCAAGCTAAGACAGAGGGTCTGGTTTATGATCATTACATGACAAACTCCCATGACCAACATGAGGTGAGCTGTGGAGCTACAAGCAGCCAGAAGTCCACATCTCAAAGACTGCATCCTTGCTGATACACTTTGACCACAACATCCGCTAAGGAATTCACCGAGGGGAATGAAATATGAAGGAGAAATAGTTTAAAAATGAGTGAGATAACCATCTGTTTTGTGGGGGAAAAAGCCCAGAGCAGCACATTGCCATTTCTGGTGTAATTTGTAAAGTGTTCTTTCCTTTCATTTTGGAGTCTGATAGCTCAAGGGCTTTAAACTCTTGTTCCTCTTCCATTCACAAAGCTACCTTTGCTAGGCCTGATAGCATGGTACTTTCAGCTCCAAGGCAGCAAACACGACTTGTAGGAGGCATTAGCCACCTGCTTTAGATCTGAGTCTATTAACCTAGGTAATCCATCTAGTTTCACCTCTTTGTGCAGGAGGACATCTCACCTTGGTCAGAAGAATTACACTCTTAAACTTTAACAAAGGACTCAGGGATTTGGACCCCAAAGTCAGGCACTGAGTGGTAGCCGCACGTAGATGAACACCACTCAGGTGACACAAAGGTAGAGGGCTTCCTTCTAGATTCCTCAGCAGGGAAAGAGAGTCCCTATCACTGAGTATTGCTGGTGTATGAGGAAGGATGTGTGCTGGTGACAGAGGGGTGAAAGAAACACTGGAATACAGAGAGGTAGGATGAGTTAACAGAGGAGAAAGTGAGGAAAAAGAGGGAATAATACGGAGGAAGGAGAATAGAAACAGCCCTATGGGAACCTGACAGAAAATACAATCATTAACCTGGTCTTCAGGATGGTGTGTCTTGGGAAAGGGCAGTGATAGAGGTGCTGGAGGAGGAACACAAAAGCTGGCACCTCCTCCAGCCTGCAGCCAAGCTCTGGATCACTTCCCAGGGCAGCCAGGTGTCCAGGCTGTCACACACACAAACGGGTCCTTCCGAGCTCCCTGGTCCAGCTGGTGTGAAACCATTAAACTGCCCATGTCACACCACACAAGAGATGAAAGTCACTGCGAGAATAGGTGTTACTGGAGTGCAGCTTCCTTGCTGTAACCCACCCACCATCAGCCACAGCTCTGACCTTCAGTCATGCCAGGTTCAGGGGCAAACCCCAACACAGTGCAGCTCCACTGGAGGGCTGGGGGGCTCCTGGAGGTTGGGGGGGCTCACCTCAACCTGACCCAGCATAGTTGAGCTACAGAAGGTAGGCAAGGCTGGGCAGAGGTTAAGGCATCATCATCTCAGTTCTAGTCTGACCATCAGTGCTTAGCCACCCATCGCTGCCCATGGGGGTTTGCCTACTTTTTTTAAACTCACCTTGACATCTCTTTTAGACAACGTCTTTCTTGGGTTTAGGACCTGTAAAGGATTTTTCTTCCCTTTGCAAGCACTTATTTTCCTTATATTATTCTATCTCAATTTAAGGATAAAAGAGCCATTAAATTATCTAAAATTCAGATTTAGAAGAGTGATGAAAATACTGTGTCTGTGCCTAGGTAAAAGGAGAAAACCACATCAAGACGACCCAGCTAAAATCAAAGTACTCATTAACAGGTATGCAGGTGATCAGAGGGTTTAGCTCTGTTCGGGGTGAGGTTTGCACTACCATGTACCCAGGTAATATTTGTTATGGCCACGGCTGGGTATAACTGTAACTCTGTAAGTAACTATAACCATAGCTATAACTATATAAATAATTATAACTAACTATAGTTAGTTATATATATATATACTTACATAATTATGTAAGTAACTCTAACTATAGCTGTAGCTATAACTACCTATAGCTATAACTATAAACTGCAACTATAACTAGATTTAGTTACAATATATAAAGAAATATGTCTGAGCCCAGGAGCTGGTGCACGCTCTGGTACATTCCACCAGAATCAGGGAAGGGATGTGTAGCATGGCAGGGGACAGTGTGCCCTTCCTTCCCTTTCCCATATGGATTACTCTGTAAAGATGGGGATCTCAAGGGTGCCAACATACTGCATTCCACAAGGCACACTTGCAGGGCAATTGTCCTTCTGAACATCAAATGAAGCCACTCTTTTAAAAAGATTAAATACATCAATGATCTTGTACGTATTTGAGTGCAAGAGTCTGGGTGCCATGAGCAACGTGACGGATAAGCTCCGAGCATTTCAGTGCTATGCTGAAATCGCAGCGTGCTGGAGCACGGCGCTGCAGCTTTCCCTTTAAGAGCCCTTTGGCTAAGGGCGATAGACTGAAATGCAGGAGGTGGGACAACACCACACACAAAAATGAAGAAGTGGAGGCAGGAAAAGTTTCTCCAGAGGAAAAATGCAGGGCTTGTCCTTCACCCTGACGTCAGATCTGTCTTTAATAAAACCCCCAAAGAGCCAAGAGAAAAAGGCAGAGTGCCTAGGCTTGGGTTGCCGGTTTGGGATTGCTCTGCATTCCCCAAGGTGGTGTTTCTGTTCAAAACGGCTCTAAAGCTGGGTTCAATCAATGTATTTAATCCCGGCTTCCAGGGATGAGGTGGCTTTTGCCCTGGATTCTAGCAACAAGCAGCGTTTTGCAGGTGAGTTTGGAAACTGCAGGAGAGACTTCCTCTGCAAACACACTCGGGTTCAATGCACGGTGGGCTGGGAGATCTGAGCGTGGTGCATGTGGGAAGGTGGGCACTGGAAAGGAGGTGGGAGATGTGGGAGCGAGGAGAGAAAGATGATCTATAGAGGAAAGGAAAGGAATAAAAGGAAAGGAAAAGGAAAGAAGAGGAAAAAGGGAAGGAGTAAGGAAATGAATAAGGAAAAAGGAAAGGAATAAGGAAAAGGAAAAAGAATAAGGGAAAGGAATAAGGAAAAGAGAAAGGAATAAGGGGAAGGAAGGTGTGAAGAAGTGTCTCTGAGTTGAGGGATCTGCACAGAAACCTGTAGTGTGGGGCATTTTGTTAGTGTAGGGGTTTATTTTTCCATTTCTACTCTTTCCGTCGCTCCTGTTTGTGCTGGGAAGCCAAGCAAGGGGGAGAAGCTCTCCTGTTCCTGCCCGCAGTAATGGGGTGAGGCTGTCAGGGGAGCGGGTCGTAGGGGCCAGGGCAGGTCCCGACGGGCGGCGGTGCCCTAAGGGGTCGGGGCCGCAGTGGTCCCGGGCAGGTCCCGCCGCGGGGCCGGGGCCGCAGCAGGGACCGGGGCTGGGAGTGGAGCCGGAGCCGCAGGTGTGCCGCTGCCGGCACAGGAGGAGGTTGTTTCCCCCTCTCCCGATCTCTGGTCCACGCAGCAGCAGCCGCTTCCCTTCGCCCCCTCTTTGGAAAGACCTGTATGGGGAAGCCGCTCGTTTCAGGAAGGTGTTCGCGTTTTGTTTGCCTTGTCCCGGTGTGTGCCTACCTTCCGTGTAAAATCTCCGGGGGACAGAAACTGGGAGCTGTGGTGCCCAGGACGGTGACTGTCCCGACAGTGGGTGCGGGAGAGCCTGTCGCGACCGAGCGGCCACGTCAGGACCTTCAGTGTCCCTGATCCTCGTCCTCATCCCCATTCCTGGACACAACTCCAGGCTCAGGGAGCCCTGAGGACCCAGAAAGTGAGGTGGATCCTAAGGGACCCATTTGAGCCACCCTGCTGGAGGCTGGGACAGTCCCTGAGCCAGAGACATGTGAAGCTGTGTCTGAGCATCGCTTCTGCTGGAAGGGGGGTAACATCACCCACTTTGCATAGGGGGTACTTTGTTTTGTAGGGCTGCTGGTATCAGGGGTTGGCTTCTGTGTTGCGAGATAAAGCGAGAAAGTGTTACGGGTGATGTGGTGCACCAGACACACCTGTGTGACAGCAGATGGCGAAGTGATAAGTCCTGTGTGAGTGCTGAGATGGATTGATAACGGTGCCTCTTCTAGCAAACAAAATGCAACACAAATAACAAACCTGGCAACAAACAAACAAAGTACCCCTCTTGTGCCCTCTGAGGTAAGCTGCTTCTCTGCTCAGTTTTTGTTGAGCAAGTAAAAGGTCACACAGAAGGAGAATAGTGTTACTAAGGCAGATGAGCATAAGCCTTGTTAATTTTACAGTGGTTGTCCTGGGTTCAACTGATATCAAAGATGTTTGTAAAACATGATGCTGTGGCATAGAGATATGTGTGAGTGCACACAGACACGTGCCTGTTGTGGGGGCAAGTAAGCACAAGCCAAATATTGCTGGGAGCATGTTTGGTCCAAAGAGTATCTAAAAAAGAGTTCAAAACTATGTCAAAAAATAGCCTAAAAAGAGTCCTGGGTCTCTACTGTTTCAATTCAAGCTCTCAGGTGAATGGAGCAGGTGAAGTTGTGCCTGGCCAGAGCACCTCGGGGGCACTGTTGCCTCCTGAACATATACACACAGTGAGTTGGACCTTAGAAGGCTGTGCTTAGAAACCATTGAGCAGGGGTGATTTCTCCCCAGTAATAAAGTGGCTTTCTGTGGGTCTTTTCGACCCCAGAACTGGACTGCGATGAGGGGTTGGTTAGCAGATGAAGGACACATTTCTATCTGGCATACATAAAGGAGTGGGGAAAAAGGGATGAAGAGAGTGTACAGCATGGACTGATGAGAGGGACTGGGGAGAGCAACTGGGAGGTGGTATTAGTCTTTGTAATACTTACAGGACTTTTGGGAGAAGAGCAGGCTTAATTTGATCTCCTTAAGAGGATGACGTCTGAAGAGCAAGGGATGTTGCAATTGATGTGGGATATTGTGAATATCTCTCTGGCATGTCCACCCTGTTCATTAGAGAGAGATCTCAGCTAGGTCACACGGGTCATAACAGACGAGTGCTGGTAAAGCTCTGACACTCATTGTCTGCTGTGTTGCATCTTTGGTGGCATCATCACAACTGTAATAAAGATCTTTCCAGCACTTCGGAGACCTCCATGTAGTGGTAGCATCACGCAGGTCACTGTGCACAGGCAAAAAGCTCTGTGGTCTCCTTGGAGATTTGTCACTCTTCACTTGTATAAAGGAATATGGACAGAAAAAGATGCTCCACTGGGAAAGAGGAGGGTTGACTGTCTGGAATATAACAGGAATATATATGCTTGTTCTAGGAAGACAGAGGAGTTAAAATGGAAAGGTCAGGCAGGTCTCAAAGGGCATTTCAGAAGGTAACTCTCAGGTTCTGCCAGATTGTCCCATGTCTCCCAGTACTGAGTTCTTAAACAATTCTATCAAGATGCTTTATTAGGGCCTAACTGCACAGGCGATGGGCTTGGGAAGAGAAAAATGGCTGAGCATAGCTGCGATTTCAGACACAAGTTTTCAAGCATCTCTTAAAATATGGGTTTGTTTTTTTTTTTCATAGATGTAAGGGCAAAGACCATGGGAGCCCAAGTCCCATCAACTTGGCTGAGATTCCTCAGTGCCTGAGTCATTTCTGCAGCAAGACTGGATGTGTTGGCTCCTTTCAGTGCTGCACATTGAGGAATCAGATCCAGGATCTTCAGCCCTGATGGCTCAGCAGATAGGAAACCCCTTGTTCAGACGGGTTGAAATGTCCCAAACCAGGGTGATGATTACAAAAGCTATTCTGCACTTTGTAGAGAACGAGAAAAGGAGATTAATAGGAAGAACAACATTGGAGGTTTCTAAAACATTTGAAGTGAAGGGATGGGTAGTGTGTGGATTAGAAACCTAAAATAAGGAAAGGGGGTAAATGCAAACCTGCAGACTTTAGTGGTGATGAAAAGTAGTAGGTTGAATAGCAAAGAATGGTGTTGCTCTCCCTCACATTAACTAGCAGGTATTGACACTTTCATTTGATATGATGGCATCATGGCATGCAAACACCAGGCTTTTGGCTTTAGTGTGTGAAAGGGAGGAGAAAGATGTTCAAATATGACTTTATATAGGCACCCCTCCTCTGTGAGCATTGATTCCACTGATAATGACCCAAGTTCAGGGCTGCCTCAGGCTGTGTGGAAAGTGGTTTAAGAACCATAATGTGTGGTTTTTCCTTCTCCTTTTTATAAGATCTATCGGCACATATGTGAGGCCAAGAATTTCATTTGTAAAATATTCAGATTTGGTGGCAGGAAAAAATGATTACATTTCTTTGGGCTCTTCCAGGCAAAACCACATTCTGACCAAATGTGAACCAAAAAACCCCAACAAGAAAAAGCTACAGATTGATTTATTAATTTATCTATTTGCTTTGCTGGCAGCTCATATGTAGTCTAATGCTAAAGGTTCCAGACACCTTTATTCTTGCCTGCAAAAATCCTTTTGCTCTCCAGGGGAGTTGAGCTGAGGTTTATCTACAGAGTGCTTCTTAAAGAAGGCTGCAGGCTCACAACATGGATACATAGGTAATGTTAGGCAGCATAGGTTCAAAGTTGATGTGTCTTGTCCCTCTATCTGCCCCACCTTGACAGCATCTGGTTATCTGGCTTGATACACTTCTCTTTAGAAGGCTCCTATCCTACATTGCCATTGTAGTATGTCAATTAAAATTGCTCTGGTTATAGCACCTATTCAGCTATGCAAATAAGTATCTTGTGGGTGCATCATACACAGGGCTTTCCCAAAGCTGATCCTTTGTCACCCCCCGCCCCCCCCCCCCAATCCACTTGCAGAATGAAATCATTGAAAAGGCAATATCCTGAAGGCAGTGCTAAACATGCTTCACATGAATTAGAGCTTGACCCAAGTCTGTCCCTGATGATGATGCCTCCTGAGCGCACAAACACACACAGAGATTTTGCTAAGAGTAGCTTCTTCATACCTTCTCTATCAATGTTTGACTTTGCCATCAGCTGCCAGTGTGCAACAGCTTCTTTGCCAACATTAACCAAGACAGAGCTGGGGACAGGAGCTGGCTTCCTCATCCCCTCGCAGTTGAGGCACTGCCTGTTTGCATCCCCTGTGCAGGTCCTGTACCCATTTCGTACTGCAGCAGAGCTGCTGCAGTGTGAGTACTTTGTTAGTGAGGCTTCTCAAGGAAAGACATTCCTTCAGAATGGTAGCTCTGGGTTTTAGCAAAAGGATGAGATTTACATGATGCTACGGGGTGTCTGTCCTTAGAAAGAATTGTCTATGTACTGATAGGACAAGGGGTAATGGGTTTAAAATAAAACAGGGGAAGTTCAGGTTAGCTATATGGAAGAAGTTCTTTACTGTGAGGGTGGTGAGGCACTAGAACAGGCTGCCCAAAGAATTGGTGAATGCTCCATCCCTGGCAGTGTTCAAGGCCAGGTTGGCTAGAGCCTTGGGCAACATGGTCTAGAGTGGGGCGTCCTGCCCATGGGCTGGGGTTGGAACTGGATGATCTCAAGGTCCTTTCCAACCTAAACCATTCTATGATTCTATCTTCTCCTGCCTTCCCCAGGTGCCATGAAAAGGCACAGGTCAGAAAGTTCAGAAGTCTTCCACAACCACGTGGGATATTTGACTTCTTTCTTCAGAAGCTCTGGGTTCTCATGCTGAGCTATTAGGAGCTGCTTTAGCATCTTGGCAGTGCTCAGCTTACTGAGAACTGCTCTTTTTGGATGGCCTCAGTGTCCCAGAGGGGTCTTGAGCATTCCTGTCTGGACAGCCCTGGCTCTCACACACAAGTGAAAGT